TTTGTATCGTTCGATTTAAAGTTTGTATTTTTGCATCTTTTGTATATAAATATATTGTAAGAAAAACCGACTCGTTGAATATTTGAGAAACTCAGTGCATTGCTTTATTGATTTTTATTCATATACTATACTACATTACATTAAATATATAAAGATTTGACACACAGGCAAATACAAATTTTGAAGTCTTGTTAGGTGTGATAGCAGCACCATCTCCATTTTATCCTCTGGCAATGTTGATGATATATCACTTTGTTTATGCGTGTTCTGATCTAATCTGTGTTGAAGTATCAAAAATGCATACTGCAAATTGAACTTTATGAAACAAGTTACACAATGCAAATAAAACAAAATTAGGAAAGTGACTAAACGACCTTATGAGACATATGATCCATACTTTTTTCTCCTGATAAAATAAATATAATGTTTATTTTTTATATTTTTTAAAATATTCAATATCTCGGGGAGTTATTATAGACAACAATGAAATTTTCATGCATACCAAGCCATTGTACCTACAGGGTCTCCCATGAAACTTGACAGTTGGTGAATAGTTTAAAATGTATTCTTTCATAAATAGTTTAGTTGTTTGAGAATAATAAAAACATTATACGGCAATCATATTAATATAGTAAAATTGATTTCAAAGTAAAATAAATTTGAGGAAAAGATGTTTTGTCAACAAAATAAACTGCAAAAATACCAAACACAATATACATACAGTATATAACATTTAAAACTATTCACCAACTGTCATGTTTCGTGGGACACGTTGTACTTTTGTTACTTTAATTGTTCAACCAGACAAAGATAGCAACACTTGAAGTAGATAATTTGTAGTAGTAAATCCGTACGTCATACAGATGGCAGCGGGGGGAGAAAGGAATATAAAAAGTAAACAAGATACTTTCGATGCTTTCGCACTTTAGGAGAGAGTCTAATGTGAAATTTCAACTATTTAGGCAGAAGGGTTCTACCTGCCTCCATATTTATGCATATTTAATTGTCTACAATACATCAACTGTTTGGTCCCAAATTTTGTGAAGGACCTCACACGACCCCAACAAAATTCGATTTTCATTAAAATTTGAACATCCAAGAAATTTTTTTTAAAAATCCGCAAACATTTTTTTGTTTTGTTTTGCAATTAATACAAAAAGAAAATGTTCAATTAAAAAAGAAGATGAACGCGAAGCGCCCTGAAAGCCTAGTCTATATAATAAAACAAGACATTCGTACACGTGTTCCATTTAGCCGGCCAAACGGGCTAAAAAAATCAAATTTTTTTCTTCAAAATTTAATTTTTTCTCTAAAATTTTTGTATTACTAATATTAGAATGCAAATAAAATGCTGATTTAAATACAATCAAGTTTTATTTAGATAAAATTGGTGTGCAATATGTCCTCAGCATATATGGGTACGCAGTTTCGGTTATTGTACATCGTGCATGTCGTCTTTTTTTATAAAGATTTTTAAACTAGAAAGTAATCATAATGATTAGCATTTTCTATTTTTTTTCTTTGATTTAATACTTTATGTAGAATTTTTCTTTTGTTTAGGTCAGGAAGAATGTATATCATGACGCGGATAACCTAGACACTGCCTTTGACGCAGGTTTAATAGTCCAACGAAAATTATTTAACCCTATTCTCCTATTTAACCCCCTGTCGTTTTTTTTGCGATTACTTGAAAAGTATTTGTCTGAGGCTGTTAACTAGTACAATTTCCTCACTTTAGACTAAAAGCTTGGCTTTTATACCTATAGTAATTTAGACATACTGCCTGAATGTCTAATTTTAGCTTTACCAAACTAAATCCAAATTTAAACCTACTTCCAGGCATTGGATTTCAACATTTTATAGCTCTTTGGAAAGCTTACAACACAAAAGAGCAGATTGCGCAATTTTTGCAAAGAAATTTTGTGCAGATTTGTGCACAGACGCCTTAAAAAGGAAATTTAAGTTTTTCTTGAACACACATTTAGGTTTTGAAAATCTTGAAAATATTTTAATTTGCTGGGTCAAGGGCTTTTCAAAAATGTATAATTTATCATAGTTCGCACACTTTTTGTTTTTGCACCTTTTTCGCTAAAAATCTTGATTCTGCAATAAATATTTGAAATTTTGCAAATTTGCAAATTTTTTAGAGGATTATTAAGGGGAGCCAAAGGGCTTTCCAAACATGCATCATATATTATAGATTTGTATCACAATAAGAAAATAGATGGGGGGGGGGGGTTACAATGACAGGGGCCTCCCAGTCTATTTTGAGTAGTCAGTCGGAATAGGATTAAAAGCTAAATATTTCCGTTTTACCGTAGGTAACTTTTAGTTTTTGCAATTCATATGAACCAAAAATAACACCATATATTAAATCAGAATTAGGAAGATAAAATTAAACAAATTAACATGACACGCGCGTTAACGTATCGTTGCTGATATGATTTGAATAAAGATTATTGAAAACTCTCTTTAATTTGTTAAATTCATGTACTTCAAGGAAAATAGGAACAACGTTATTTTTCTGTGATAAGAGAGAAAAATTTACCGTTTTTTCTACTTAATTCACTTTTGTGCAGGAGGCAGTGTATCTATTGGATTGACTGCAACAACCATAGTTTCCCAATGGACGTGGTCTGCCACTCTACTTCAGTCAACAACTGTAGCTAGCAAGGTACAAGATAAATTGTGTTCATCAAACGTCAAAAATTCATGATTTGCTCAAAACCTTCTTAGAATTAATTTTTATTAACCAATTATAAATCAATGATAATTTAGTTTGGCATATCTGGCCCTTATTGGTATGCAGGTGGTGCCACTATTCAAATAATCATCTTCTCTATACTCTCCATTATGTTGAAAACCCGCGCTCCAGGAGCTAAAACCTTTTTACAGGTTTAAAAACAATTATATTTTTTTAAACAAAATAAAGTAACATTTTTAACTTATCATCTTTTTTGTTTAAAATATTAACAAAAATTGTTGTTTCATAAATAAAGTTTGAAATAGAATTGAAAATACAGAAATTAAAATTAGGATGTTCTAATCTATGTTCTAAATATATAGACACTACATACTTAGGTGATAAAAGCACGGTTTGGTAAAGTGACTCATCTTATTTTTTGCACTTATGCTTTCTTTACAAACCTGGTAGTTATGATGTCTCTTACTGTGGCTGGTACAGCAGTACTTAATAGGTATAGTATTTACTTGCTTTATTTATTAAATTAGAAATTTATGATAAAAGAGAATTTAGCCGTTAGGAAAACACAAAGAAACACATTGGGGTCAGTAACATTTTGACTAGTACACCTTTTACTAGTACTCATTTGCCTAGTATTCTTTCGCCTAGAACACACATTGGCCTGTATAACATTTTGCCTGTATAACAGTTTGCCTGCAAACATTTTTCCTACTTAACATTTTGCGGTAATTTCCTAGAGAACGATTTTTGGACCCCCCCGCCCCCCCTCCTCCTATCAACTTTGTAAATGGATCTTGAATGTAAGACATGTGGATGCAGCGCTCGACCCCCTAGCCTGTCCTAGCTGCAGCGCTCGGCCCAGAAAGTGACCGCAGCGCTCGATCCCCTAGCCTGTCCTAGCCGCAGCGCTCGGCCCAGAAAGTGTCTTAAACTAACCTAACCCTAAAATAATACAAAAAATTGATAGGGGGGCGGGGGGGGCCAAAAATTGTTCTCTAGGACAGACCCCATTTTGCCTATATAACATTTGAGTGTATTTGTCGCCTATGTAACATTTTGATAATGTATTACTGTTTTTTTTTGTCAATTTCTTAGACTAGATCCAGTTTGTGAACAGGTTTTTTAATCATATTCTCAAAACATTATATCACATCATATTTGATCATATTTTTCTGCATAGAATGATAGAATACACAGGCGAATAAATTCAATCCAATTATTGTACTCGGTTTTAAGATAAATTAAGTAGATATCGTATAGACATTAAAGTTTATACATTTTTAACAACAAATTTGTCAAAAAAAAGATCTTTTGCGTCATTTTTATTAGACCAATTAATGCTTATCGTTTGAACATTAAAGCTGTTTCCCAGTTTATACATTATGAAAGTCTTTGAATTGATCAGTCTTGTATCCGACCTGTCACCTGAAGCTGCCTCTATGCTACTAGCTGTTGTTATTGGTGGCTATACCTTAATTGGTGGTCTGGGGGCAACATTCTACGTTTCCTACTTCAACACTATGCTCATCTTTATACTTATTCTAATCCTTGTTGTAGAGGTATTGATAATTAACTTTTATTGCAACTAGGGAAAGGAAATAAATACTCAGCTTAAACTCTACATAATTTTATTTTAAACCTGATGGTGTAAACTTTTAGGTTTTACAGATTTTGGTATTTGAAAATCAAAGTTTCAAAGTTTAGGACGAGTAATTAGTTTCCTTTTAATGGGAGAGACTGGTTATGTAACATAGTTGAACCGAGCGTGCAGTATGAGAAAAATATTGGGATCCATTTGATACCTTTCAGAAAAAAAATTTCGGGGCATAATTTTTAGGTAAGAGTGTGATTTTGTTGGTAAACTTTCCCCAGAAGGGGTGGTACGCAATTATTTATTACAATTATCTGGACAAAATATGTTACAGAAAAGTATTCTAAAAAATAAAGGCATGTATGGAACAGGTTGAGAAGAAAAGAGGAGCAATTTACGATTTACCTTTATTGCTTAAATGTTGGTTTTCTGTGCCTCATGAATTAAATATTTAAGTATGAAGACGACAATTCTCCAAGCAATCAATGATCATTAAAATCCCGGATTTTGTAATGAAAGCATTTCTTATTTATTTAAAGTATAAAAAATATAATTAAGTATTTTTGAAATTACTTCTATATTTCTTTCTTTTTTGTTTGTTCACAAACAGTTTAATTATTTGGTTTTTACTTGTTTTGCAATGCAAGTACCACTCCCAATTTTTTTAATAAACATAATAAAACGTTTGAATCAGAAAAAATTTATAATGAAAGTAAATATTCATTTTCCAAAAAAATAGTTCAGTTTGGTCCGTCAACCTGTTCCAATGTTTTGTCCAGGTTATTAAATAATTGTTAAAAAACTGTTGCTTCTGCGGAACATCCCATTTGCTAACGTCTCATTAATATAAGATTAATCCTAAATTTGTTCGCTATAATACTGCTCTCTCGGTCTCTCTATTTAACGCTTCAATTATTTATATATATGCATTTAATCTTCAAATGTGGTGGATTTTTTAAATATGTATGAAAATCCAAAAAAGCTTTTAAATTTCATGTACGAGATAAGTTTGTTTATCAATGATCACAGTGAAAGCTAAGACAATATGCATAGTTCATGTTTAAAAATCTAAATATTTTCTAGGTTTTTCACAATCCTTTTAACAATCCTGAAAATCCTTTTGGTTCCGCTGAAGCTGTTTATGATTTTATTGCTTGCTGGAAATCCCAGGATGAAGGGAACAGGGGAGGATCTTACCTCACCTTCTATAGTTCAGGTCTGAAAGATGTTTTTGTTACATATCAATGACAATATGAAGAGACATTTTTCACCTTTCACAACAAAAATACTTCTATTAGGCGGTAGCAATATTTTCTGTTTTTTTCTAAAAGCATGATTATCTCTTTCTTTAAAATTGTATGAATTATAGACTAAAAATGTTGCTTAACTAAACTCTTTCGGTCTCAATTTTTTTAAAACATTGGTCTAAGCCTCACCCCCCCCCCCTCCTCCTCCTGGAATAGTACCAACTTTAGGTAAAAATAAATAGATACAATAATCATCACGCAAGAAAAATGATGATGTACTAAGGCACTTTGTTAAAGTAGTTGTTTTGCTGGGGTGATGTTTACGAAGGTAAAATTATCAGATTTAATTTTGTTTTAGGTGGACTCATATTTGGAGTCATCAATATAGTTGGTAACTTTGGGTCTGTATTCTGTGACCAGGCATATTGGCAATCTTCAGTTGCTGCTAAACCTCTTCAGGTCAGAACTTATTTTTTAAAGGTTTGTTTACCTTATAATACAGGGGACATTAGTTCCAAGACTAACGCTTGGCCCATTTCTAACACTGAATGATAGAAATGGCCCAAGTCTTTAAAGTTATCTTCTCCAAGCGTATATAACTTTAAATCCAAGCCGAGTTGTACAAAGCTACACAATACATTTATAAAAATGACTAAACCATATATATATATTGAAACAATAAGTGTCATCTTAAAACGAATGATAATAATAATAAGGTGTGAGAATTAGTTTTTGATGATACTGTATTTCATTTTCGAACATATCCCTATTTTGAAACAACTACCGGATTTGAGCTTATGTTGTGTTTTTGGAACATATCCTGGTTTTGAGACAATTACCCAAATTCATATCAATGTCAATTTTCATGCAATTACGCATTTCCATAACAAAACAACATTTTTTTTTATAAGATAAAATAGGAACAAAATAGAAAATAAAAACTTATTGCTCTTTTATAATTCAAAAATCATTATAGCATTGACAAATCAAAATATTGATATTATTTGGTTTCTTAAAATATAGTAATTTAACTTGTAATGCTGGAAATTGATTGTTTAAAATGCTAGAAATAATTTAGTAGTTAATTTAGTCTTCATAAGATAGTTTTTACTTTCAGTGATTTATTTTTTAAGTTTTGAAAGTGAGCTTTGTTCTAAAAAGTGGATTATACTCAAAAACAGGAAAGTGGGTTTTTGTCTCGAAAACGCGACAATGTTTCAAATTCAGGATATGTTCGAAAATGGAAAACCTGACATTGTCTTGAAAACGGTCAATGGTTTAAAGATAAAAAGAACTACTTTTATGATTTTGATTTTAAAAATAGTTTCAAATTGGGAATGGTTGACCTCGTCATGCTTAATAAAATGTTGGTGATAGTTTTTATTCTCGACTTTTACTCTGGATATATGCCGGGATCCTAAAAACCCAGTCTTTTAAATTGTGCCCACTCAGTATTAAAAATGGGTCAAGCATTAGTTTTGGAACAAATGTCCCCTGTAATAATTTTTAAACTTTTATTTGAATGTGTATTAGGGAGTCTGGGGATTTATTTTTGGTGGGTTAGCATGGTTTGCAATACCCTTTACTTTGGCGACTACTATGGGTCTTGCCTATCTTGGGCTTTCATCTGCTCAAGGGGCACCACTTCTTTCAGATGATGATATTTCAAAAGGTAAATAATAGTTATTATTTTTTATTTTAAATGGAATTGATAAAAACATTGCGGTTGAAAACTGGAACTACTAATAAGATGCAATGAATGTCAAAGTTTTTTAATTAGACCCTCTAACTTTTTTTACCATTTGATGACATGAAATAAGTGTATGATACAATTTAATTTGTTTAGGTTTAGCAGCTCCTTTAGTGGCACAAAAACTACTTGGTACAACAGGTTTGAGAGTTTCAATGTAAATTATTATGAAAGTGAATTGTCATGTTGTACATTAGTTGCCTTTGAAACAGATCTTTAACCTGTTAAGTTTTATTCCCAATCAGTTACCTAACTTTAAATTTTAGAAATTGTTCTTCATACTGAATCATAGGTATCATTAATATCAGCTCTTAATGTTAAGGGGAGTATGCTATGTTACTTTTAATCCTGATGGCTGTGATGTCAACTGGCTCTGCTGAAGTGATTGCAGTTGCCTCCATAATTATATATGACGTTTATCAAACCTATGTTTTCCCCTTCAATAAGGACCTCAAGGTGAACAAGATTCTTTTTTAAATCATAACCTGACTCATGGTAAACTCAAGCAAAAACTTCGAAAACGGTTTTAGAATTTAGGATATATTAATTGTTATGGCATGAATTTTGGATAAAAAGTTATGTTGGAATTGAAACAAAAGAAAAACTTATTTTTTTCAGGATGGTCAATGTATCTTATGTTCTAAATACCTGCGTGGTAAAGGAAAGATTTCTGAAGATTTGTGTACCTGTACAAGTGCAAACAATTGCGAAGAATGCAAGGTGTTTTTTTCATTTCACATTGGATTGATCAATAAAACAAATTGTTTTATCAGCTTAGATGATTATTATTATGAAATTCAAAATTCCATGCCAAGCTAGGTTTTTAAAGATATATTTAAATTGTTTTTCAAAAACATGTGGTACTAATGTATCCTTGGTAATGAGACAATCATTTCCTTAAAAATTTTCTTGTTTATTAACTGAATACAACTCCTAGAAACTCTATGCATTGGATTTCCTAAATGAAACTGTACGGTTACCGCATTTCTTTCAAATTCAATAACCACTCATACTTACAAATTATGTACACAGGTTGACATAATAAAACGATTGAAGAACAAGAAAGCAATGAAACCTCATCTTACCTGTTCAATTCATGGTGAATACAAAGAGTATCAAGAATCACTTCTAAACTACAAAAACTGGTGTATAGTAATCACAACATTCTTTACTATTCCTTTATGTTTATTCTGCTGGGCCTTAAATCTGAACTTAGCTTGGACTTACTACTTCACAGGTATACTCTAATTAATAAATATGGAAAATCATAAGAAAATAATACCGTTTTCATACTTTTAAGTCTATATCCCTAAAATTGGAAAATGAGTTTATCTGAAATAGAAATTCAAAAGATGTTGTTCTTTAGAAAGATGAGCATGTAAGATTTCAATTTAATTTGACATGAGGTATCAACAACGCTACTCTGTTAACCAAGAATCAGGAAATTCTTTTTGGAAACAAGAAAACTTTGCTCTGGGCAGAAAATGTTAATAACGTTAGAAATGATTATTTAAACTTATTGTTAAATAGATTTAAATCTCGTAGATAAATCTCAAAAAGGGGACTGTGATACAATACATTTAATACTTAGGAATTTTGATATCCTGCTCTGTGGTTCCTATTGGACTCTCTATTATCTGGGCTCGTGCTACCGCCACAGGAATGATTGCTGGTGTACTGGGGGGATGTGTAATGGGTATTATATCTTGGCTTTCTTATGCCAGCACTCTTCCGGGAGGACTTTCTTCAGAATACTTTGTAAAGAACAGCGGAGCGGTATGTTAACACTTTTTAAGATAAGTAGATGTTTAATTTCCAACAAATATAATTATAGAATTGTATATTATTTAATATTTAGGAGATTCCCATGCTTATAGGGAACTTGGTTTCAATAATTGTTGGTGCTGTGGCAAGTATTTTGGTCAGTTTTTGCACCAGGTAGGATTTCATTTCTTATCCATAAACCATTAAATATTTGAAGAAGAATCATTATAAACTTGAGAAGAAAACTTATCTTTTCAATTATTCCAATAGAAATTATTTGAACATTAAGATTACAATTTAGGCTTTTTCATCTTGGTCTGTTATGAACCATGCACACTGCAAAGAACACATGTTACAACCGACCAAGTTTTTTCTTCCAGATATTTTTACCCTAGCAACTTCAGGAGTTATCTTTTAAACAATTTATCAGATGGAGGATGAGTAAAGAAGATGAAGACGCGGAATGGAATAAAACAAGGGACATAGATAATCCTCTTTCACCCTGGGTTCAGGTGCTTTTCTAAAAAGCTTTTTTTTTTTTTGTTCTTTCCCCCCCCCCCCCTGGAATTTTATCATCAATTCTGCATAGAGTGTTCGCCCAAAATCTACCTGAAAAAAATCTTGTTTTTCATGTTAGGTATACAAGGAGGAACTTAATTTGGAAGAAGGAGGAAACTTTCATGCCCGTCCTACCCTTGAAGTTGTGATAAGAAAGTTTAGGCCTGCCAAACTTACTGCTATTGGAGCTGCCATTGTGTTCTCGGTTCTATTTGTTGTGATCTGGCCTGGAAGTATGCTGAGGTAAAATAATTAAAAATAACATTTTGTTCTTGATTTGAACTTTTTGCTGTAAACAAAAAAAAACTTATTAAACTATAAATTATTCCAAATAGGTTAAATTCTTAAAGAAATGTGGCTTTAGTTGTATATTTTTGAAAGTTAAAATTTTATATATTCCTCCAAGAATATTAATTTGACAAATGTATTTTAGTATTGATGTCCTTGATCTCCATGGATTCCAAGTATGGACTCACATAAGTAGAATCTGGGCTTATGCTGCAGCAGCTTTTATCATCATAATTCCATTCTATCAAGAGGTATTTTGTAGTATAGAATCTACAGGGTGTTCCAATAAACATGGGAATTCAGTGACGAATTCGATATTTTCTTTTTAAATAATTCTTTGATTTAGTATTGTGATACCTACTGAGAAAGCTGTAATCTGTAAGAGTTTCATCTGCTATGTTTACATTTTGTTTGTTTATTTTTTGACTAGATACGGTTGTACTTAGTAAAACAAGAAAATTACAGTATACAAACAGAATAAAGTTGTCCGTCTTCGCTCTTCATCTTGCGGAGACATTATAGACACATATTTACAGTCTTTTACCCTTTTCATAAAATAAACTATAGCAGACATGATAATATTATGGCTTTTGAAATTAGGTATTACAATGCTAATTCATAACAAAGACGACATCGAATTCGTCACTGAATTCCCATGTTTTTTGGGACACCCTGTATCTTTAATGTCTAAAAAATACAATTATTCAAACTCTATATAGTGGTTTAATCCAAATTTATTGATCCAGGTACGAGCCATCATTCAACAAGTAAAGAGCAATAGAGAAAACCCACCTAATCCTACACTGTGTTTGGATCCCCCTAGAAATGAAGCTTCTCATGACGACTCATTCATCAGAATGTCTTTTGATAGAAATAATGATCCCTCTGAAAGTCTTAAAAACAGGAGCAAAGGGCAAATAAATGACGGGTACCAAAAAACCATACAGGACAGTGCATTATAGAATATATAAAGTACTTGATTTATTTGATTAGTTCAGTTCCCAATTAAATCTAGGTACGAAGTGTATATATAGTTTTTTTTTTAACATTATCTAAATGGAATCATGTTATCTCGAAACAGTACAAATAAACTTTTTACATATTTTACACCTTTGTAAACAACATTAAAAATAAATTTCTCGATGATTTCAAATATGATTTTGAATAAAGAACTGAACACTCTCCATCAGATGTTATGGTCCTATCTTATCTATATCTTTTCAACTTGATGACAGACCTTTACTATGTTAAGCTGTAATTGCCAAGATATAAAGATATGTAGAGATTAGAGAATTTGATTATTTATGAGGGTTCAGTTTCTTTGTATTTCTTTTATGTTTTTAATGCAATTTCTTGATGAAAGTAGTTGGTAATTGATATGGAAGAGCTGAAATCTGCAAGCAGATATATAAAAAAAAACACTCACTTGAATTCAGCTAATTAAAAATGAAAATCAAGTGATTGCAAAATGTCTCATTTATTTTTTCCATTAAAGAAACTACTTACCACGACAAACTGAAGTAAACTGCACGTAAGAAATAGTTAATGGTTCCCAGGGTTCGTCTCAGCCGGATATCAGACTTAGATATAAAATAAATAGAATTGAAGAACATTAACTTTTATTTTATTCAATATAAATATGTAAACTAACTATATGTATCTAGAATATAATCAGTTGTATCGCAAAAAACAACAACAAAAAACAGCTATGACTAGTGTACACAGAATTTTTTTTCTTCTATTTACTAAATTGATAATTGATAATGTACAACACAATGTTTAAATCAAAATTGAAAAACGACAATTACCTCTAAATTTTTAGCTCGTAAAAGGTCCAGGCAAATCATTTTTAGTTCAACTTAAAAGTAAGTTTAGAATTTAAAAAATTAAATGATTAAACTCAAAAGGTTTTTTCATTTTTGTAAGCTCAATAAGACCAAAAGTTCTTTAAAATTTAATGACTTCAAAGAGTTTAAAAGACCTTTTTTGTTTATTACAACATTTTTAAAAGTTTATTTATCCAAGAGAGATAATACTTTTCATTTTCATGCTAAAAAGTCCTTTCATATTTTTAAGCTCAAAAGTCCTTTCTTTTTCAAAGGTTCTTTATGTATATATTCCTTTTAAAAGCTCAATAAGACCTCTGATATTAGGGCTAAAATGTCATTTTATAATTAAAAGCTTAATATAACCTTTTATTTCTACTTATCATATTCTCGTTTTAATTAAATGATTTCACCAAGCCTTTCATTTTGCTTGCTTAAAAAGTCCTTTCATTTTTATAAGCAAAACATTTCATTCACATACAATAATTGACCTTTTATGTTATTGCTAAGAATTCCTTTCATAATAACAAGCTCAAGCATAAGAAAACCTTTCATTTTTCTTGCTTAAAAAGTCCTCTCATATTTTAAAGATTAAAAGTCATGCTGCATATCCCACTACACAGGACCAATGACAAAATATTAAAAATATGTTTTATGAACAAGACACATTTTCTGCTAACAAAAAATCATTTTAATTAAATGATTTCAATTAGCCTTTCATTTTGCTTGCTTAAAAAGTACTTTTATTTTCAAAGGTTTAAAAAAGGCCTTTCTTTTCTATTTCACAAAACTCTTTCAAAGTAAATTATTTTAATTGGCATTTTAATTTGATTGGTTAGAATACTTGACAATCATTAACCTCCTCTTTTAAACCAATAAATATCTTGACTTTTTTGTACAGGCCTAAAAACCTGAAACGCTTTTTAAACTCACTTAGCTTGTGTTTAAATATTCAGATTTAAAATAATGAAGATTAGATAAATAATTGTATGTTCAATTTGAATATTTATTAAGTCTTGAAAATTATATTTTGAATGTTCACCAGTAGAAATATCAAAAATTCACTACCGAATACTCGATGCTGTAAACTGAAGTAACTATAGTTTACCAGAAGGATGGTCAAATAAAAAGGGAGGGGGAGAGGGAGAAGGTGGCCAAATATTGGGATGTCGAAAGGGAGAAGCAATGAATGAATTATCCATATTATACCAAGACATGTAATCCTGATTACTAAAGCTTCTACCTTCAGGAGGGTGGGGACCAAAGGGGAGGGGAGCGAGGCACACCACACTATTTTTTCGTCCACACCACAAATGATAAAAACCTGAGATAATTGCAAGTAAATAGGAATACATATAGAATGGCCCAAAAAAACAGGGACTACCGTTTTTATGCCCCAATAATCCTTTAAAAAGTGTGCACTGTAGAATAGTTTTTTTTATTTTAGAAGGGGTCGTTTAAGTAATATTTTGTATTTTGATGCTTCAGTTTGGATTAAATCTATGTCGAATGCTTGATGGAGCAGTGGTTAGCGTGTTTAATTCGTAATCTATGGATTCACGATTCGAGCCCCACCTACTGCAAAATCAAAAGCTGACAAATTGAGCCATACTGATGAGTAGAAAAACAAAAGTGCGGGAATATATTATTTTTATCACACCTTAAACATAACAGATAAGTAGTTTCGGCGAAAATGTGCGAAATTAAATTTAGAAAATCCACAATTTTAGTGTTGAAATAATCATTGGAATCAAAGTTCTGCCTCTGCGATGGCTCCTCATTTAATCTGAATAAAAAATAGATTTGCGTGATTTTTTTTAAACGGTCTTATCCGATTGTTTGTAAAAAAATTCAAAAATTTCATAAATTATTGTCAAAAATAAGATTACCACAAAAATTATTTACCATATGCAAGATGTCGCTAATCACTCTTTTTTTAACTCACCCTGTACATACATGCCTCCTAAAATTACAAAATCATAAAACAAGTTGTAGATACAATAAATTCATTAAAAGTTACTGAATTCATGTATTTATAGATATATATGCCAAATAAAATATGATAACCTTGATATTCTATGAAGAATGGAACATTTTATGAACGCGTTTACTTCCAGATTGGTTTACACCGGGTGCAGTATATTACCATATTTACATATTCTTGTGGTAACATTCGCTAACCTTTTAGTTCAGGAGTCTGTCACAGCTTTAACGTTTTAGGGCTGTGGGTAAAAATCCAACCAAAGAAAGATACAATTAAAATCAATATTTCATATGAATCTTAAATGTGTACTGTGTACAACTGTCAGATTATTGAAGACCTTTACAATCAAAGACAGAAATCTAGACAGGGCACATGTATGTTGTACTGTTGTACATCATGTTAAGAGGGAAAATAAACTTCAAGAGAAAATATTCACATTTGATTGATTCAAGAAGGAGCTGATAACTGTAGAATTTGAAAAAGTTCGTAACTTTGTTGAATTTTTTTGGTCAGGTGATCGTGTACACAAAAATAAGGATATGCAAAATTTGAGTGTAAACAGGGTGTCCCAAAAAGAAAATAAGGGTTTTAATGAAAATGAAAATTTGATATTATTAAAATTTTCTGATATTATCTAAATTTTCCGTAAAGGAAATTGACAATTTGTTTTCACTTAAAAGCTGTTGACGAACCAAAAAAATTGGTGATAACAATATCATTAAATACATTGTAAATATATATTTTTCTGACACTTACATTATGAGTCTGTTTAATTTAACTCAAACATTTATTTTTTTTTATTTTCTTTCTGAAACGTTATTTGTGATCAAAGACAAAAAATAATATATTTAATTTTTATATTTAAAAAAACCTTAAATAACTGTTCAATTCATGTCAAAAGTATACTAAATGTATACTTTCATTCACAATGAACATTTCCCCTCTCCTGATCTCATCTATCCAATACTTTAGAATATCAATTCTAAATTCAGAGATTCCCCTTCATGCTTTTATTAATGTGCAGAAGAAGGGGGAGGGGAGGGATATATCCCCCAAAAGGATTTCTATGAAACATGGTGCAAGGGTATTTTTACAATGTTTCCAATCCTGAATTTGTAAAGATTAGGGGGAAACATAATGGAATATTTAAAGGGGCTAATACGTCTTCCAAGATCAACAAGAATACAAAATAAAAATATGCGTAATGTCTAAATTCATCAAAGCACATACTTTTCATTTAAAAATAATATAAATACTTACACCTGAATATCATTTTGGGAATAAGGTTCTACATGTAATAAATCTAGGTCCCTACATACACATACATAGAGCACATTAAAAATAAAGTTTAATGTGAGTTTACCACGCATAATAGTATAATCATATTTAGTTCTTGTATGGTCAAACCCTTCGCAAGATTGAAATCTATAATTAAAATCACAGTAAAATAGCATGGTCCTGGTTAAAATTCGGTGAATTTTTCTTTTATGTTGGATTATATTTTATGAATATCAAAGTATAATAACACGTTAACGATAATTTCGACGGGTTTCGAATTAGAGATCAAATTATGACTGAAAATATATCAATATAGACTGAAAATATGTCAATATAGACTGAAAATATGTCAATATAGACTGGAAATATGTCAATATAGACCGAAAATATGTCAATATATAGACTGAAAATATGTCAATATAGACTGAAAATATGTCAATATAGACTGAAAATATGTCAATATAGACTGAAAATATGTCAATATAGACTGGAAATATGTCAATATAGACTGGAAATATGTCAATATAGACTGGAAATATGTCAATATAGACTGGAAATATGTCAATATAGACTGAAAATGTGTCAATATAGACTGGAAATATGTCAATGTAGACAGGAAAGAAAATAAGTGGCGAAAAATGTATTAGTGGACGGGTGAAGTTCAGGCAAAAAGTCATCAGAAAATGTAAATTGTTAAAAATATGCATGAAAATATAAAATACATATGGATATATTATAGCAGAGATCCTAATGTAACAAATCCAATATTTAAAAGGTTGACAAAATTGATATCTTTGATTAATATCACGACACGAATTCCGACCCCCCCCCCCCCAATCCTAAATCCTAAGGAAGAGAAGATTATCCGTCCTTCGACAGAAATTGATCTTTTGTAAATATTCAGCCTGAGGTTGAGGTATCCTATTCAATATATATACATATTGTCACAGTGTCACCTTGTAATGCGTTCATCGATTCACCCGTCCGAGAATTTATCAGTTTCATAAATAACTCCAGAAAAAACATGCACTATTTTTATATACTTTTAGTTTACTTTACAATAAACACAAAATTATTGGTTTTTTAATTCACAATTTTTTCTATTTCTACATCTTTAGCCTTCTATTTTTCAAATTTTATCCTGATCTGAAATCTACTTTCCTCTAGACCACTAGAGCAATTTTATTTTTGTCCTTTATGTCCTTTGACAATCAAACTTTAAATTCGTTCTTTATTACATTACGCTAAATGTATAGTTCGTATAGAATACAAAGAATACCTTGATCTCTCATAATAATAATAATATTTTTCATCTAATGTTTCATATAGGAAAGGAGGAGGGGGGGATGAAAGTTGTTTATCCTACTAATATGCTTCCCCTGTATCTAATTATGAATACTTCAACTAGAACGATCTATTCTAGTCTACAGAGAATAGATACATATGATGTATTCTCATGGGAGGCGACCCCGACATTCCCCCACTATAATTCTCCCTCCCCTCCTTCTGTATCTGGCCCAGCTTTTATCCTGTTCATGGCACTTAGTCTGTGTTTTTTGATAAAACTAGTTATAATTTTAAACAGTGCAGTGTTATTTCTAGTCTTTTAAAGAAAATCACGCCATTTTCCCATTTTTGCCGGATAAATAATTTCCACTCTGACAATCTTTACGGGGAGGGGCACTTACTTCACACTTTAAATTAATTTAAAGAAAAAATATCAGCAGAATCCCCTGGCCTCCGCCCCCCCCCCCTTCCTAAAATGGACTGTAATAGTGTGAAGAGAGTGAGACTCCCTTCTCTTAAACTGTAAACTTCTTCATATTCTGGGACATTCTAAACCATTCCCAAGATCCCATCTGCCAATATTCCCCAAGTAAATATCCCCCAACTCCTCCCCCCGTCTTGAATAAAAGTGTGAAGGTCTTGTTTAATTGTATGATTCTTGGGGGGGGGGGGGAGTAATGATAAAATTATTCATTCTACATTCTACAACTAGGGAATGTTGGATGAAAAAATGTAATATAACGGGGTTTAATTATTATTCCACTTAAACCTTCATTTCGGTATCTTGGATCTACAGAAGGCTAAAGATTGGGGTTTATTCAAATTTTTTAACATTTATCCATCTTTCTCCTGAAATATTAGCATTATAAAGGGTGTACATTAAAAAAGGTTTTCACTCATATTTTGAATTCTAGAATTTTCAATATTTGCAATAAAAGCATGTAAATTCATACTTACCTAATAGTAATAATAGTAATAATATTACTAAGATAATATTTGTAACAATAAAACTAGTCCATGCAAAAAATCGGATTTGAAAATTACGGCCCGGTGTTGCAAATTGCAGCTTCCAGCTAGCATGTACAGAGGCTGAGTAGACATTACATAGACTATATTAACATTCTACGATTGCCGGCCGGATCGCGTCACGTACGAGGGTGCTAGAGCTCGAGCGTAGGGACACCCGTCGGTCGCAAGGTGCAATTTAAATTTGCGTCCATCTCCTCCTTCTCTTTTATGATGCTTTTCTTCAGGATTGCCAGGGCACGTATTATACTGTTTATCTAGTTTGCTCTTTATTATGACATCAGTTATTGAAGATGCTTGATTTTAAGGTTTCAGTATAGCTAATAAAGATTCATACATTTGAAGATACTTAGCCGAGCTTATTACCCTATTTTCTTTGTGGACATCTTAAAGCTTTTTTGTTTTGTATTTATGATAAGGATTTTTGCTTTGCCTCATTTTATCGTCTTTATCATTTAATTTGGACACCTGAACATCACAGGAAATTATTCTTGATTTGCCTTTGAATTGGGCCTGAAATAAGCTTATTTCCAGTCTCTTCCAAATGTTTAAACAAATGGCGTCATGACTTCATTATTCTTCTTTTGGTGAATATATATTAAAGATTCCGTTGGTTATGATTTTACAACCTGGCAATCTGTATCTGGCTTGAAGATCGTTTTATTATAAATTAAAAAATAATGGTAGGTGGAAACCTTTTTTTGTTCGCCCTTTTAGAGGTAAACTTAAGCAGTTTATTTAAAACATGGTTTCACTCATGCTCTACATATATACAGGATCCATTCTAAAAGAAAATCTTTATTGAAATAGCTATACAATAACAAATTGTACTCATATACAACCAATCTAAAACAGTAATTGATTTGTTGGAAACAATTGAAAGTTAGTTTTCTTTTTGAAATATTGTTTTAGATTTATAAGATTTGAACTCTGTTTTCTCCTTTTCTTCTCATGTTTTACATTCTAGAATCCTTTACAAACATAACTCGTAGCAGGAAATTAAAAAAGATAAAGGACGACGGTTGAAAGGAATTGACTCTTTGCAACAAACTCTGATTTTCTAATCCCTATATCTTTGGATTCCAACGTCGTAAACCTTTGTAATTTCAAACTATGACTTTTGTTAGATCAAAAAATATAAGTTTGAAATATCAAAGGTTCACGATCAAAGATATTGGGATTAGAAAATCAGAGTTTGTGGCAAAGAGTCAATTCCTTTACAAAATTCCAACGAAGGTACATTTTATGAATGAACTGACTAGACTTTACAAAATAGTTTTATATAGTTTCAATGTTAATGGATATGGCACAAAACAGGATCAAGACAGAAGACATTACTTTTAAAATTAGTTTCTGCATTAGAACGTATAAAAGCATATGCCATGTGTAACGTTTTTTTAGCACACTTGACTTAAAGCAATTCAATCACTAAGTAAGGAACTGTAGTCGCGTAAATTTTTGATATAAAAACGTCACCAGATGGAAGACAATTATAAAATAAATTAGCTGAAATAAATAATTGCGGCATTAAACGATGACTTCGTGAACTATTCGTCTCGCTCTTGAGTTTGGAGTTTGAAGACCGTCTGGTGGGGACTCTGTAATAAATATATTGGGTGAAGTTGAATGAATGAAGTAAGTAGCTGGATCAGGTAAACCCTTGTAAGAATATCCAGAACCTTCCATCGCAGCGCTACAGTTATCTGAAATATAATCAGTGTTATTGATATAACAATAGGAGGAAAAACAAGAAACCCCAAGAAAGAGAAAAGATTTCCCTGGAAAAAAGGCAAAAAAAACTGGGTAAAGATCTATGTATATTCCTGTTTCAAAATAACATGGAGTAAAAAAAGAAAAGTGAATGTTGGACTTCTTCTCTCACGGCTAAAAGGCGTCAAAAGATTCTGAAATAAAATAGGAATTAAATTTGTTCAATGCTACATACATTCTCCAGAAAGAACTACGCTTTGTCTATGATGAGATGAGTCTTCCTGGTCATGCCCGAAGTATCTGTCAGGATCTGTTGGAGTTTCATCTATATATGGATACCCAGGATACTGGTCATAGCCTAAACATCATTGTGTCAAAACTCGATCACAAATTTCAAAAACGGATTAATGAAATGCATAATGAATTTCACTTGTAATCAAAATGATTGAATGTGAAGAAATGAACCGTAAAAGAGGGGAAAATTGAAATTTATAATATGAAATGAAATGTCTAATGTATTCACAACTCTCAAATAATTAAGTTTTGATATAAGAAAAATAGCAGAAACTCGTTAAAAATATTAAGATTATGTTAGAGCCATGTTAACCTCTGATTGAAAAGGTTAAGGATAATGCTAGAGAAACTGCTACCAGAAATATACAAGATACGTTTTTTCTATACATGTTTGCAATTTAATACAAAACAAGGCTGACTTTTGACCCCTGTACAGTAAAACGATGAAAGGCGTTGTATTAACAAAAATATCATTCTTAGAAAACCAATATTTGGCTGTAATCATCTTGGACTGTCAGGGTTTGTATGAAAGAATCAAACGGTAGAAAATAATGATTTATTACATCATAATTTTTTATTTCACATTGATTTTTTCGTAGTCATTTCATTAAACATTTACTTTTTAAGTAATTAAGGAACCATAAAAACTTGTGATTAATTTCGTACTACAGTGATAACCAGAAAACTCTGGAATAGGAAGTCGAATTTTAAACTAAAGAATGACTTAAAATAGTGCAATGACCATGAGGCACATGTGCAGTGTAAACAGACTTATTTTACTTCACAAGGGATTTAATAACTTTATAGTATAGTTATTTTCTTTTAAACAACATCAAATATATTTCAGTAAAGCTTTAATGTCGTCTTCCTATTTCATAGTTTTCTGGTTATCACTTTAATAGGATCTAGATGATTTTTAGCAATTTTTGAATTAAAAATAGTAATACACCATGTTGGCATTGATTTCTTTATTAATTTTGTCTAAATGTCAATTTATAATTGATAACGTCCTACCTGCAAGTGCTGCTGGGGGATAATGTAGATCCATTCCTTCACTAGGACTCTTTTGGTAAGACCAGAGAGGTTCTTGAGAGTTAGCCGAGTCTGATTGTGAGTTACTTGACGCCTGCTCTATCTGATGTGAGCTCATGTCATATTGTCGAGTCCCATGTTGATTCTCTCCCGCGATAGTAAACATTTGTGCCTTGTACTGGTCTAGGTTGTGGGGTTGGAGTGCGCCTGGATGAAGTATTTTTGCTGCGCGTACACCGCTTTTTATTCCAGTTTTTCGTGTATGACAAACACACTTGATGGCAATAAGAACTGCAACAAGTCCCAACAATGTCACCACCACAATAAGAGCTACAAGCCAGGGCTGCCCACCTTCTAATGTATCAACAACCACGGAATTTACATAAGGTCCACACGCAGTTATGTTGGTTTGAAGGCACAGACGAGCACGAAGAGGTGCAGATACAGGCGTGTCTGTGTCACTGGAAAGCGTAGAAGGATCAGCAAAGCTGACTGGTATTTGATAATTTAAATCTTGTAGAGGAGTTTGAGAATGTGCTGCCCAAAGATCTTCATCTTTTTGCTTAATCTGCAATTCTACCACCAAGGTTAACTGTGTAGGAGGTACCTACAAAATATACATGGATTTTTAAACGTCACAAAAATGAGTGTGATATTTCAATGACAAATAAGGATTCGTGATTTTTATTTAAATAAGATAAATTTGTGAATACAATCTCCCCGAAATATATTAAACTTTAGCGTGATTCTCATAAGTTAGATTCGATGTGAATTAGTCTACAAATGTACGCGCACCTTAATGTGAACCATCCCAGATGATTTTTCGTATATAATACTGTCAGGGCTAGGAATCTTGTTTGTATCAACAAGAGTCGTGAAAACGGCAGGTTCGGACCATTTGCTTTCTCCGTCCCGGTTCCGAGCTCGTACACGTATACTGTACTTTGTGTACTGGTTCAAACCTAAACAAAAAATCCCTTTAAACTTTTATTCTTCTCTCAGAAAAGTAAGAAAGAAAGTAAGACAATCTATCTATTTATATATATAAAGCTTCAATGCATGTTTGATATTCTTGTAGTCTGCATAGGCGGTCCATACTTCAAAAGCATAAATTATAAATGATAATGGATGTCTAAAGAATTTGGGAACAACAATTATAAGTTCAAAAATGCCTAATCCCAAGCTCCTAGTTGCTACTAAAATGTGTATCTATGTAAATAGCACAGCGCTAGAGTAACTATTATGAAATCTGCTAGTTGCAAGTTACTTGTCACTAGATAATTTTCTTTTAATGTTATCACCTGTAACATTACACTTTTCGAACACTGTACAACCAGTTGTACCAATCTTTTCATCCTCGACTCTTGTATACTCTATAGAGTACTCGGTATCCTAATTACAGAAATATATCCAGAAAGAAAGAAAAAATTGTTTTAATGTTTTCTTCAACGAACTTAGGCAATAAAGATTCTTGTAAGAAAAATTTCCGAAAATTTCTTGCTTGAAATATTGAAGAATTGTTATACCTCATGTCCTCCGTTAAAGCCAGGCTCCCAAGATAAAGACACTGATTCAGCAGAGATTTCAACTAGATTCAGTGATGTAGGGTTTTCCGGGGCACCTAGTTGATTAATTGTAATTTCTTATTGCAAAATGAAATGAAATGTTTGATGATTATATAAACTTTCACAAATCATAATTCATTAACTTTAAAAATTGTATCCATCCAAACAACGAAATAAAAATGAAATAACGAAATAATTTTCAGGATAAAATGTTACCTTTACTTTGCATATTTATTTGCATACTGACTGCGCCTATGCTATTTAAAGCTCTGCATCCATACAAACCATACGAAGAACTTCTCACCTGTATAATAATTATAAAATTAGTAGTTCTCTTTTCAAAATTAAAGGTTTGCTGATTGCCAAAGAAACGGCTACAAGCCAACAATTAGATAATTTAAAAAGATCAGTTGGATTTGCGCCAAAACATGACTAGACATAACTTTATAGCCATCTGAAAAAAACTATCATAATTTTTTACCTTTGAGACAACTAGCGTAGACTTGAATAGATCATCATCTAATTTTGTTACATTGGAATAATAGTTGATTCTTCCAGACTCTATAGAAAAATAGAAATAATAAAAATAATAGAATTGTGTGAGATTTAGAAAATGTGTACTTTATCATTTATATTCACTGCATGGTGAATTTCATCATAACAGTGGTATCATTGGTATGAAAGAATCATCAAGGTAGAACCTTAAATAAGGTGAATATAAAGTTTACATGGTTTCTGGATTTTCTCAAACAAAAATTAGGATATTTCAAGAATAACTTTTTCAATAAAAACAAGATTGAAACACGGGACATAGATACGATCTTAGAAGACTTTTCAAGAGAAAATTTCTGTCCAAAAACCTTGAAACAATAAAAATATAAATAAAAGTGTTATAAATAGTTAAAATTATATTGATAATAAATGTGAGAACGATGATAAAACTCATAATAATGATGTGATGATAATGATAATGATAACAAAGATTAAGCTCTTTAACACATTACCTAAGACATCATCCTCTAGGGTCCAATCAAATCTAGGTTCAGGGTAAGCTCTTACCACACAACTAATGGTTCCTTCTTCTCCAATATCATATGCAACCTTAAAAAGTAACTTATAATTTAGGCACATTTTGGAAACAGTGCACGAGGGAAGAATCAACTATTTTACTTGTCATTGAAAAATACTAACAATCTACCACCAGTTATTTTAAATGTAATCATTAATTACATCAATAAATATGTAACTTTCCTTTGCCTTTTATTTTTTTAGAAATGGGGTAAATATACCCGCAACCTCCATTTTTGGGGGTTTTTAAATATTATTTTTTTGTTATATTTCATAAATAGATAATTACTTACTTACTTACTTACTTAGAATGGATGAAAAGATAACTTAGAATTAGATCTTGTAGTTGAACTTTACAGAGTTGATTTTATGATTGATTTTGTTAACAAAGATTGAATCATATAACTAGTTTTGTTTTTATACCTTGTTATATTTATGTGCAGGAACTGGTTTATGTTCTATCCGCAGTTCAACAGTAGTCTCGGCTCGTCCTACTTGGTTTTCAAACTGACATGAATAATCTCCCTGTAATTAAGTTTAATTAATTTAGTAATTAGTTTTTATTTTAAAGTATTGCTAAGTCCGTGATAGCACGATTTAAAAATTGTTAAAATACTATTAATTCTAAACATTGCCGACCAAAGAACATAATTTTGCATTTGTGTTTTTTTAGAAATAAATCCTTTTGATTTTGGATGATTTCTTTCATGAATTTAAAGTCTCATTTCGAAAAGATGTATGTAACTTTTCTATCTTTCTCTCACTTACGGCTAAAACAAAGCATTGCGTGAAGAAACTAAGATTTTGGACAAAATAAGAATAGTTATATCATGCATTTAAATTGAAACCAGTGCTTGTGCATGGGTAAAAGCATTAAAAAATGGAAGAAATATAGATCGAAATAGGTTAACATAAATTTCAGCCAAAAGCATTGATATATAGAATTTTTAAAATTTTTTTTGCTTCCTTTACAAAATAGAATTGCGTAAAAGGCTTTCCTTCAGAACTTGTCTTGTTGTAAAGTAATAACGAGGTGACCGGTATAATTAGTGGAATTTATTAGGAACAGTTTACACAGAACAAATATACAGATATCCAACAGCTGAATCTACAACAAGTGCCCACATAGATACCCACACAAAAGTTCCAATCTCAACTTAGACAAGTTTTTTTTCGGATAAAATTGTTAAAATAAATAAAAATAGTTATAACTTATAAAAAAATTTCATCTTACAACGAAATCAAAACAATTAAAACAAACAAATTCTGAAAAAGTTGTAAATCAAATATATTACTAAGAATCATATAGTTTAAAGCTAACCTTGTCTTTGTAGGTCAATTGGTTGGACATAGTTCTCCCTTCTCCAACAAAACTTAAAGTAGAGAGAACATTCTGACCCTGTTCCGTTACTGAAACCTTCAAGAAAAAAACCTTTGAATTCACCTCTTTTGTTATTTTTAAACTACGAAACTTTAGATATTATCAAGATATTACATGACTAAAATATACCTTAAAGAGATTACTATCCCCTTGAGATATTTCAACTCCATCCTTAAACCAACGAAGTCCAGGTTTAGGTTTAGCACTGGAACTGCAGGATATCTGCAGTCCACTAGTAAATTCACGCTTTAGAATATTACTAGGTGGGCTGCTGGTCATCTTAGGAGGCAAGTAAACCTGCAAGTCAACTGATGCTGTTTCTCCCTAAAAAATGAACTGAATTTGAAAGTATAACGTTCAAATGGCTCTTTTTATCGGTAACAGACAAAAAACCATTATACACATAAAACCAAATAACCTTTTAATTTGTATTTTCTAAGTTTCTAAGCTCATTTGAAAGTTTGGCGCGATAATTTGGATAGGATTATTTTACAGACTAACTTAATTATTACGGGCGCAGTATTTTTAAGGAATTTGAGTATAATTTTAACTTAAAGCTCTTTGAAATAAAACACCAACTGATATATTATTATTATTAAATGTGTAGGAAATTTTTTTTAAAGATTAAACTTTACAATACATGGGATTTTCTTTATGTACTGTTTATGACAAAGGATCAATTTCCCTAACTCTTGACTTGTTGCATGGGGGGCAGAAGATTGAATGTTCATAACTACTTTTTTAATGTTAGCGTCTGTGCACATAACAGTGTATAACTTAGTAAGCTTATTTAGTGCTAACACGATATTACAAAACAAACCATGACACTGGCTAGGTTTAAAAGTCTAAATCGGTTCTGCTTAACCTTCTGAATTCGTAGAATTTTGTATATAACAATTTTTGAAAAATATATAAATCGAGATATGTTGAAAATTAAGTGAACAATAATAATACCTTGTCTGGAGTCCATGAACTTTCTCATGGGTTTAAAATTAAGCATACAACTATGGGGTCCGCACGCAAAGTTTTAAATGTGAAAAACTTACAAAAATGTGGATTAAAGTATAATTTTAAAAAATACAACGTTATAAACATTTCTTATAAAGGAATTGAGTCTTTGGAACAAAATCAAATAATTAAACCTCAATATCTTTAGAACCCGATGTTGTAAACCTTTGATATTTCAAACTCAGTTATTTGATCTAACAGAATTCACAGTTTGAAATATCTAAGGTCAGCAACATTTGGTTCCAAAGATACGGTGACTAGAAAATCAGAGTTTGTGGCAAAGACTCAATTCCTTTACCTGTCCTAGTTGATTCGTAGGTTGACAATAATATCTTCCTACAGATCCAGTATCTACCGTTTGAATGGTATATTCCGGTAGGGTGTTAAGAATATCCGTGTCACGCCCCTCCTTCCACCATCTACAAAAGAAGTAGTAAACAAATAATGCTTAAACGTCGAAATTATTAAGATTTGTTAGCAGTGTGCAGATGTTTTCTATTTTACATATTGTTTTTTTCTACTTCAACGTAACTAACTTATCATTTATCATTCTAAGAGGAACCATATGCGGTATATTTAACTATTATGCATGGATGAGTTAAAGTCATCCTTGAAACTGAAATTATCATCCAGAGTTCATTCAACAGGAATTTATGAGCCCTCTCCCTCCCAAACTTCTTGTTCGGGAGAATAATGCACCAAGAGGGCTCAAACATCAAAGTTATTTACATTTTGTGGTGTGCCGCAAGCGCAACCGTAAAATGATACGATTTCCCGTAAATCTGATCGTCTAGTTTCAGTCGTTTTTTGTGTGTGTAAAGTATAACCCCCTCCCCCCAATTCGTTGTGATTCTAAAAAAGTTCTCCCAATAAAATATTTCAAACTCTGTCCTACTTTGCAATGAACTTTCAATAATTTAACAATGTGTTAAAAATCTATTTTAGTTTATCAAATCTTAAAAACAGAAATATTGCGACATCGGAAGTAAAAAATATTAATTAAATGTAATTGACAGAAATGGAATAACTATGAAGTAAAATAGATAAAAACAGAAGACTTTATCAGATTTAAATGTTTATTGTGCACGTATGCCAAAAAATATTTAAACGCTCGTGCGCGTGCACTTCAAGTTTCTATCTTTCTAACTTTCTGTCACAAAGGGGAATGAAAAATACTAAAGCGAGGATCTCTTAAACAATGGAAACAAAAAATACAATGCAAAACATATATAATTTTGTTAAGTTACTTAACTTTCATAAGTTCATAGGAATTACATAGAAATTACATAGAAACAAGAAGAAAAAAACGTAAATAATATTGTAATATGAAAAAATGAAGCGTAATTAAAGAAGACTACAATGACATGGATTGGGATCCGGATCTGCATGAAATGGATTGATCCTCACCACGGTTGTTAAGAAATCCATATAGTCTTTAAACCCATTAGTCCGTTAATATTCATGCACAAATGTTAAATGGAATGTAGATGTGGTGAAACAAATTGTATAAGGTGCAGATACATATGACTATTTGTAATAAATTAATTCTATAAACTTTCATCATAGTTTGTTCCTTCCTACCTAAATGAAGGGGCGGGATATCCCTGGGGTTTGGCTTGGCAGACTAAAGTAACACTTCGACCAGCAACAGCTATTGCCTCTTCAGGCAGTATAAATGCTTTGCCTGGCTTGTGTCTCACGTTAACCAAAACACTGAAGTAAAATCAAATAAAAAAATCAGCTAATAACAAAAAAGTTTAATTTTTCAATATTTGATTATAGTTAATAGGAATTTTAAAAAATTGACAAAAGAATTTTTTTTGATAAACTAACTGAAAAAAAAAATTTGCTTGCCTTGAGTTTGAAACTCTAAGAGTTCTCTCTGTCCCTGTTGGTTGAATATAGTTAAAGGCAGAGCAAGTATATTCATCACTATCTCTAGCCATGCTCTTATTAATCTATTCACCAGATTATTGTCAAACAAGAGATCAATGATTATTTAAATTGCATAAATTTAAATTGGATAAAAAAAACTTTATTTTGAAGTACTGGTTAAAAGCAATTAGTTTAAAGACAATAAATTTCCTTGAGATCAGGGCCGTCTTGTTTAAACCCTGCATCTGATTTCCGATACCAACTAATTCCTAAAAGAAAGTTCAATAAAAAAAATACAAACTACAATTGCTGGGATGAGAGATGTAAACGTTTAAATAGTTTTGGAATTAGCCAATTAAATGAAGTCACTGTTCCGCTTTATCTAATAAAGTAACAGAAGGTCTTCGAACAGTTGAAAAATAATTACAACGTCTTTAAAAACTTTTTTTTTACGTGACAAACACCATTATCTAGTTTAATTAGTTTAAAAATTAATTAAATTGATGAAATTAATGAGCATGTATTATCTACCTATATGCTTAGGGTTGGCAGTTGCTTGACAAGATAAAGAGATTGTCTCTCCTTCTTCTACTTCTAGCTCTCCAGATATTTCAAGCTGAACAAATACAATTATTACTATTTGATTAAGATATTAAAGTATTAATTTGTCATCTTGTACTATTAATTTGGCCAAAAGGACAGTTTTACCGATTTCCACCGTCACATAAGCTTGTAGCAATATAAGAAACAAGACGTTGTTTAAATCTTGTAAAGAATTTGATCTATTTTCACAAGTCGTTTATATGTCGAATTTTAGATTTGTAATGTGTAGGGTTTATTCGGTGTGGTTTAGATTTATTTTTCTTTTGAGATTTGGTTTAGTTTGTTGTAATATTGCTTGATTGGATAAATTTATAGGCAATGACAATTCAGAAATCTAAACGTATCTTCTAAAAAGATGCTCTTGTGGAAAGGTGTCGGAATATTTAGAAAATATTAAATCAAAACTCATTTACCAAAAAAGTCCTGAATAAGATTTTAATTACGCTATTTTAGGATTCTCACGGTCGGGTTTGAACCAGAGAGGATTGGCAGACATGTGAGTTGGGAGTTGGATGAATAGGGAACAGGGAGATCGGAGTAGAGGGGCGGGAAGATGGAAGGAGAGAAATGGGGAGAAAGGAGGAGACGGGTGAGAGAGGGAGAGGGGCGGGTTCGAATGAGAAGAATAAGGGAGTGGGTAAATGGATTAGAGCATGAGTGGGAGAAACTGGACATTAGTAGGAGGATGGGAGGGGGGGGGGAGGGAAAAGGTAAGGGGTTCAAAGGTCTACAGGATCAGTGTTTTTACCAGTTTTAATAGTGTTTAAAACTGTTTCATTGCCACAGGTTGTCTGTTAAAGAAAGTGTGGAATATTCAAAGAATTTAAGAGAAAGTAAATATTGGTCAAAAGAGTCGATATTTTTAAGCTAATCATATTACCAGAGGGCCATATTGGACGTCAAGAACTAACTCCTCTTTATCCCCTTGTCCTAAACCATTGTCCGCAGAACAGAAGTAACTACCACTATCCTCCAAGGACACCTGAGAAAAACACAGATTATGTTTTGTCTTATTTTTAAAGTATTACAACCATCATGTCATTTGATATAGTGAAAAGTGCAGTATGAAAAGTTGAAGCTCTCCCCCCTGGAAAAATTCCTGAATACGCCCCTGGTTCTAACTTTGTTAAAAGGTTTAATCCTTCCTTTTTTACCATGGTACCTATATGAATAACATTTCCGTCATTTTTGTTATGTAAATTGTGACTGTTTAGTATCTGATGTAGTAAAACAAATGTGCTTTCAACCTAAGCAATTGTTTTATAACGTATTTATATTTAGTATTTTTTCTACTGTGGACTGTGATAGAGTAATATCAATCATGGTGTATAACATCCCAAGTAACAAAAGTGAGGAATTTTCCCAGATTCTCCAACTGTGGTGACTTTCTTTAAGGAATTTCCGAGGAATTTCTAGAGAATCATTTCTTGTAACTGATTCCTCGGACATTCTCGAGAAATTCCCCTAGAATTGGTCCCCATGATGAGAGATTTTTGTGGGATCACAGTTTTGAGACTCAGTTGCGAGAATTTCCTTGGAATGGGTTAAAAGAAATTACTCGGACCTGGTTCCTCGGAATGGGTTACGAGAATTTCCTCGGAAAAGCTGTCGACATTTTCACCGGAAACATTCCTGGGAATTTTCGCGGATTTTCCGCAAAATTGTTACTTGGGATATCTGTGTGGAATCTTACCTGTGGTATAACGTGTCTGAAATTGGTGTCAATAAAGCGACCACTGAACTCCCAGCGAACACTTGCAGCCATTGGCTTTGCATCAACTGGGCAACAACAACAAAATTACATTTATGACGAAAATAGTATTTAATTATGAAAACAATTAAAAAAGTGGCACAGATAATACCAATAACTAAGTTTAAGAAAAATTAAAGTTGTTTGATCATTTACCTTCACATTTCATCTCAGCAGTATGCTCCAGTTCAACTTTATATGGATTCTCAGGACCAACTGATACGACCGGAAAATCTAAATCAAATTGTTTTAAAGTGAAATGTTAACTTTTTTATAAGTCATTATATTGTAGGTCATATCAAAAAGATAAGAGAAAAATGGAGAGCATTATGACTTGAACTTGAAGCCGAATATTAATGACAAAAGGGTTTATTAAAAATCCCAGTATTGCTCTTTAATGAAATATTGGTGGAATTTTCCCTCATAACCTGACTGAACATGCCGGGATCACAGTAACTAAATAAGATTGGATTTGGGACAACTAAGTTAGCTATGTTATGACTTCAAAAGGGAGCCCCCCCCCCCCTCTCATCCCGATCAATAAAAAATGATATTTATTAAAGAAAAAATGTCGATAAAAATGTTAAAAATTAAGTTTGTGATTTTTTTTCGTCCCCCTCTTTCATCTTATTGAGCTACGTGTTAGATGTTACCCTTGGGAATTTACTAGAGGGAGGGTACGAAGGGATCTTAAGGTCCTGCTGGAATTCCCCTACCCCCTAACCCCAGCCAATGATAATCTTATGCTGATTTCAGATATATCTTATTTAATATCGGAGAATAGGACTGGGGATTATTCCAGTCTCCGCTGATATTTCTATTTAGTCATTTTTGAATCTGATTGTACATAATAGGAAATAGAAAAAAATAGCTGTAAACTTTTCACAATGGAGAATCATTTGCTGATCTTAATATTTAAACTTGTAATTTCATTATTAGATTTAAATTTTTGTTATTAAAATATCAAAAAATAACAACTGTACGATTTTTGGAATTTTCATGTCTCACTTCATTTCTTCTTTTAAAGTTTCTAAAATAACAGAGACTCGAAGTATGCTAAGATTATTGAATTATAGTTTGATATAAATATTTTTGACCAATCTGTCTTCATACTTTAAATTATGTTCCAAACTTTCAAACAAAGAACTCAATCTAGAATTGTCCACACATTCATCGATACAACTATGGTATACCCCCTCAAACCTCCTTCAACACCCTCCATTCCAATCAAATACATCAAATAACGACCCCCCCCCCGGTTTCTCACTCAGACTACTCTTTCATATTCTTCCAACTATTCAGTATTCGGTAAATATAATGATAATCCTTATTCCCTTTAACTGCCATTGTTCAGACAAAAATTTGTTATTTTCTATTAAAAATGTCTAAATTTTTATCATTATAAAATGTTAGCAAACAAATAATATTTCTGCTCACGTGCAACGCATAAACTTGATATATAGACCGTGTATAATGTGAACAGATTATATGAGATCTACATTATTACACTACATTTACCAATAAATACACACACACGCACCATCCCATAACCAGAAGGCTGTAAACTTGAGAATTTAGTTAAAATACAGAAGATTGCAGAATGTTGGTTAAAGACAGTGAACGGTATAGACCGTGACTGAAGACTGTAGACTGTAGACTGTAGACTGTAGACTGTAGACTGTAGACTGTAGACTGTAGACTGTAGGGACCAGACCTTATAGACTGTAGACTGTAGGGACCAGACCTTATAGACTGTAGACTAAAGATGGTAACATATATATACTGTAAACTCGTTTCTGTCTGCGTGAAGTTATTTTAGAATACATTCAATATGTATATATTATAAAAATACATGTATGTATAATGTTGTGTTTAGTATTTTAAAGGGGGAAATGAAAACAGGTGGGTGGGTGTGGCCAAGGGGATTTGGTTTAAGGAGGGGAGATATATTGATTAGACGTGTATAATAAGAGAGGTCATTAGTAGAACTGATGAATGTTATTGTATGAGTCATAAATATACTGAGAGAGTTGTTCTTCATCCCCTTGTGATGAAATAATGATTGTTATTTTTTTTATACGAAATGTTGCGAGGGTTTTGCAACTTTATAAGTAATACAATTAGTAAGGTTTCAGGATAACCAAAAACTCTGAAATAGGAAGACGATTTTTAGAATCAAGTAATAACTTTAAAAAGTCCATTGAGCATAAGACACAGTATTTGTGCAGTGTAACCAGACCAATTTAGCTAAATTATAGATTTAAAAAGTGGAAATTTTAAAATTAAGACTTTCTTTCATAAGAGGAAAAAAACTTTGAAACGGAATGGCCGTAATAAAATTGCAAGAAGTTTATTTCGCCCCATACTTGTGCCAGACACAGTGACACAATGCTAGTAATTATGAAGTATATATGTTGTACTACAGAATACGATTATAATATAAACATATATTGCCGTGACTAATTAATGTATTTTCTGTGCAACAATTGGAATATACATATGTTGTATGGTATAAACTTTTCTTTACAGTACTGTGCGAAGGGCGCCATGACAAACTCCTGAAAGACAAACTCCTGAAAGACAAACTCCTGAAAAGTCAAACTCCTGAAAGACAAACTCCTGGCGAGACAAACTCCTGAAAATAAAAACTTCTGAAATACAAACTCCATAATATCAAATTTAAAAAAATGTTTCACAATTTATATTTAATCTAGCCGCAGCGCTCGGCCCAGAAAGTGTCATAACTTAACCTAACCCATAGCCGCAGCGCTCGGCCCCCTAGCATGTTCTAGCCGCAGCGCTCAGCCCCCTAGCATGTCCTAGCCGCAGCACTCGGCCCAGAAAGTGTCTTATCCTAACCTAACCCTAAATAATAAAAAATAAATAATAATAAATTTGCTGGTTATTCTGATCATTGTAATACTTTGCTGCTTGAAGCATATTCAAATTACTAAAGATTGAGAATTTTTTCTAGGATATTCGCGATTTTTTCTCCTAAAGTTTATGAATTTTATCATATTTCATTCAGAGAAAAATTTCATAATTTCAGGAGTTTGTCGAAAGAGTTTGTCTTGTCAGGAGTTTGTCTTTCAGGAGTTTGTCTTTCAGGAGTTTGTCTTTCAGGAGTTTGTCATGGCACCGTGCGAAGAGGTAAGAGAAAACTTAGACCGAATATAGTTTCTTAATCTCGTTTCAGACATCTAGAATTTTTAGCTTCCTTACACACACACAACCTATGGAACCCGTAAATTGGAAGTTCAAGCTTTCGTAGAACATTTTAGAAATTTTAGTTTGAAATTTTAACTTGCCGAAATAAATTATTTTGAAATTTATATTTGACAAGGATATCAAGTATTTACCCCTGTATATCCTCTGATTGGATTGTTTCGATAATAATGTCATAAATTGGGCGGGGTCGATATTCTAGCAAAATGGGTTGTTGCATCAACTCAACAATGAAAAGAATTATTGACCTGGACCCACCTTTTCTTACAATATATCTTGTGTATAACACTACTGCCCCCACCACATCTCTATCCCTTACTCTTCTTACGTCTTTATTACGCATCATACTTTTTTCTCACTTTTTTCACTCCACATTTGTTAATTTAATATTTAAAAGTACTATATATTCTAAAAGCAAGTCTTACAAGAATTATTTTCCTATAAAAATCTGAGTACAATATATTTTTGAAACCTCATGCGTGTATTCGCGGTACAAGCCCACGCAAGCGCAAGCCAAAAACATAACAATCCGAGAGAAAACTCAGTTCAAAGAAATACCACCTGGTTTTTGTATTCCCTGACTGAAGCAAAAGAATACTAAAACCCATGTATTAAACACGCAATCTCCACAGTCCACAGTGCTCGGCTAAGTTACAAAAATGGTTTGTCAATTAATTTGCACAAAGGATTTGAGTCTTTGTCACAAACTCAAGTTTTCTAATCCCTATATCTTAGCAACTTGATGGTGCAGATCTTTGATATTTCAAACTTAGATTATTTGATCTACCAGAATGCATAATTTGAAATATCTAAGGTCTACGGAATTGGGTTGCAAAAATAAAGATTAGATTAGAACATCTTAGTTTATGACAAAGGCTCAAATCCTTTAAAATGGATATTTACGTAAAAAAACTTTTCTCAGTTTTATACCCTTCCCAGATGTCAAATGCGAATAAACTTACAGTTAACGCTGATATTCATTGATTTCTCCATTAGCTCAGTCCCAGAGAGTGCTCTATTCCAAACCTTAAATATTGACATATAGGTTTATCACACAAATAATTCGACTCCACTCAGAGCAAATCGTCGCCATTTTTGGCAAATATGATTGGGTCTTAAACAGAATTGCACAAAAAGTAATTTTGGGCAAGCGTTGCGCAATTGTACAATACAAACACAATAAAACTGCGCAAAGGAATTGAGTCTTCGCCAAAAACTCAAGTTTTCAAATCCCAATATTTTTGAAACCAGAAGGTGCAAACGTACATTTGCTATTTCAAGCTTAGACTATTTGAGCTAACAGAATTCATAGATTGAAATATCAAGGTCTACGACATTGGATTGCAAAGATATATGGGAAAAGAAAATCAGAGTTTGTGGCAAAGACTCAATTTCTTACGAAAGAACTAATGTGCACTTTTTCGTAAAAACTTGTTTTAAAAGTGTGATAACATTATGACTGAACAGTGCCGAATTTAATGAATGTAAGCCACGTCTCAAATCCCCAAAAACCGGTTTCAATTGAGCGCCAGCTTAAATCTTTAAAAATTAAATACAATTTTAAGTGGAACCAACCTTGCTTGAGCAGCAGCATAAATTTAAGCCACGGCTCCAATTCTTTAAATTCGGCCTCCGGAGGATCAAGAATGTTAAATTATCATACGTATCACAAGTATATGCTTTTTCTCAAGTAAAAGGATAAAATAAAATAAAATAAAATGGAAGCTTTAATTTGAACTCTCTTTGCGTTAAAGAAAATGGGCTATCTAGACACTCTGTTTATCGTTACCTGACAGACATACTCTGCCCCATCGTCAGCTCTGCTAGGTGTGAGGGTCAGCACGTTGACTGATTCGGTTTCATCTCCCAAGGTTGAACCTGAACCTTCTGTGTGGTTTCCTTCCAGTATTTCCCTAAAAATAATATTTTTTAGAATAAGGTTAATGCAATTCTTATAATACCTTTAATTGTAAATTTTATCTCAATTTTTTAATTTGGTAATTATTCATCCATTTACCTATCTAGGGCTCGAACCCATGAAATCTGTGCTGGAGGAGATCCGCCTCGAGCAAAGCAGGACAACTGATAGCTCTGCCCTTCCACAGCATGGGCGGCGGAGGCAGACAAAGTGGGAAGTTGCGGTGGGACAAGTACTGTCAAGGATATCGTCTAAAAAATTTGTCACTTATAAAAATGAAAATTTTTTTGATTTAGGTCAACTTATTGCTAGTTCTTGGCGTATTTTGAGTAGCATTAATTAATTAATTAGGAAAAATATTAAATTTTTTAGAAAATGTTACTTTTAAAGGAAGTGTTTACGAAAAATGAAGGGGGGTATAGGCTTACGTCGAAAAATTCGATGGTGATTGCTACTAATCCAGGGGGCGGAAACGTCATGTGTGTGTGTCTGTACCAAAAGAGTGTGTGTTAGGAATACCGAACCGAAGGCGTGTACTGTAGGTATATACAGTACATAAGAATCTCGATATTTTTACAGTCTAGGAGAGTACATTAGTTTATTGTTAATTGTTTACTTAAAAATAAGTTTAATATAATTATATATAATATAACACGGAATCATGCAGAAACATGGAGAGCAGAGACACCTGGCGGCCAACTAACCGTCGTTTAAATTGCATCATAAATAAAAAATAAGGAATATTATGAAATATCAACTTTATACGAAGGGGTCGAAAAAAAATCCATGATTATATAGGTTGCAATATCTAAATGATTTGTTTTTGATCCGGGTCGAGCATTGAATTTGTATAGGACGCTACGTTCTTCGGTATGAGTCGTTTTCAACAATTTTCTCCTTAGACGCAACAGATAGAAGTAAGATTGATTTGATAGCCATATTTTTCGCCTTAAACCTATTCCCCATTTCATTTTTCGCAAACACTTTCTTAAATCACCGGAAGTAAAATTAAACCTGGAGATGTTAAACACACACATATTTTTTATATTTTGTTAATATTACATACCTTAGTGTATAGTTCTACTCCTGTACCATCCTCCTTTATCCTGCATTCAAACCTCCCATTGTCTCTCATGTACTCAGAATTGGTTATGTAGAGGTCGTATAGTCCTTCAGCAGGGGAGTACTCAACCCTAAATAGTTCTCTGTAAAAGTTGGCTTAATTTAAATAATGAAAAATTAGTATCTAAAATAAATTAAAAACGTTTTAAAACATTTGTAAACCTTCTCAGATTTTTGTGGAATTTTTTAAAAGTCCCCGAACCTTAAAAAAAATTAAAACGAACTACGTTATTGCCATTAAAATAATACCTATAGTTTTGATGAAAGGCAGTTTGGCCGATTGCAACATTATCATGATTTCTTCGATTTGATCTAATCCAGTAGAGTGTAGATTCTTTTTCCAGCAAACTAGAGGGAAATCTAGAAGAAAAAACGAGATGAAAAATCTAAACACTTGAAGCATAGAAATGATAAATTTGTACACCAAACTTAAAGTTAAAGCAGATCTCTAAAATAAAAGAAATGGGACCAGATTAGAGAATAGCCAGATATATTTGAACTACGTCTGCGCGGTTCAACTACTTCTGGCTATTTATTAAATTTAGTCTCTGGTATACCTTCCCTCCATCTTAATTTGATCTAATGAAAAGTTTGTAACGTCTTTTGAACTTTTAAATCGCATTTTCTCCAAAATATTTGTGTTGTGTACCTGCAGGATAAAATAACATCTGCCCCTTCTTTAACATCTATGCTCTCTTCAGCAGACGCATCTATAACACATAAGTGAGAAAAAAAGAGGTAAAGGAATTGAGTTTTTGTCACAAACTCTGATTTTCTTATCCCTATATCTTTGCATTTCAATGTCGGAGACCTTAGATATTTTAAACTATGAATTATTTTAGATCAAATAATGATAGTTTGAAATATCAAAGGTTAACACCATCAGGTTGCAAAGATATAGCGATTTGAAAATCAGAATTTGTGGCTAAAACTCAGTTCCTTTTATCAGATGATTTGTATAGACTAAGTAAAAAAAGCAGTAGATATGATTATGATGACACATAAAATATAACACAAAATATAAGACAGTAGACATCCAAGAAGTGTAATACTTAGTTAAATTAGATTTAGATAGCTTGGTAAACTGCATGTTGACTAAAAAATGTATAAAGATATAAAGATGTTTGACATGAGTATTTTACTAAATATGCTTTGTCAGTAAACTACAAAACAGTCTCTGATTAATAAGTATTAAGTTGCATGCAAGTCATCTGAATATATCTGGAACAAAAATGGCAAACATTTCTTAAACATTTAAAACATTTTTTAAACATTTAAACATTTTTTAAACATTTAAAACATTTTTAAACATTTAAAACATTTTTTAAACATTTAAAACATCTCTGAAGGTTATCTTGCAAGCTTGATGGCGAGTTTTCCCAAAATACATTTCTACTATTGTTTTCTTTAGATATCAAAAAAAAACGTGCCCGGGTTCACAGTTAACAAAAATATGATATTAGGTTGCATGAATCACATAACTTTATTGTTATTTTGAACATGACTATCTTTGAGCTTGTTTATAATTAGGAAACGTTAGTGATAACTATCTTGAAAACAATGACAGACAAGTGGAAGCAACATTTTGTACAGAAATTCAAACATAAATTAATAAATAGTTAGATAGAGAGATAGCAAGTGTACAGACTGGGTAAGGTAAAGTTTCAGACATGAATTATTACAAAATTATAAATTTGCATACACAGCTCATTAGTTCGGTTTAACCCTTTTAGAAATGGACACTGCACATCGTCATCGATACATATATGTATATTGTATATACAAGAGAAAAATGACATTATGGATAGATAGACAAAAAAATTTATATCAAATTTTCCATACTTGAACGGAAGATTGATGACTAGATAGACTGAAACTGAAGGATCTTTTTCAAAAGATTCCTATCTTTAAATTCTCATTATGTGAATCATGATTCCCTCCCCCTTTATGTATAAAGCACCCAGCAGGGTAACTTAACTGTAGTGTAAGATTGATAAATTTAGTTTAGATGCACAACCCCAATACTTTATAACGGTCTTAAAGAGACAATTAATGCATTTTGAAAGGACTTTTAACGAGAATGTAGTTACAACTTACAAGATGAATTCAGTGTGAATTCTAACATTTTACGAAAATTATACGCAAAAACAAAATTAGAATTTGATATCTTTTAAATGAATGAAACTCAAGAAAGTTTGAAACATATCTCAGGTTCCTGGAAGAGCAACAAAAGAGAATAAAAACTGCATACGGATTGAAAATATAAAACGTGCGTCGGATTGAATCTTTTATAATGAACAGACGTGAATATAAAAAGAAAGGCATATGCAATGCATGCTTAACAATTCATCCTGGACACCTCAAACAAATACATTTTATACAGTTTGGCAGCAAATATAATTTTATTGTTTAAAATCGAAATTATAATAAACTTTGATAAACTATAAACTGACATCCTCTAGTCGTAAGTGCGGTTTTATAAATAAATTTTTTTAGGTTGCCATTTACACAATGTTCCTTGTCATACTTTGTCTTGTTGTGCATACAAAATAATCATTGATATTCATTAGTGGATTTACAAAAGTACTTATAGGAGATATACTATATTAGAAGAATAAAGGTATGCAAATCAAGAAAATATCCAAATAATCCCAACAGTCTACTAGAAATCGTGACCAAAATATAACTAGAGTTGTATATACCCTTGCAGTTGAGACAAGTAAAATAAGAAAGAGGTGAGGGGGGAGGGAGGGCTTCAATGTAATTTTTGTTTTTAATTTTGATTTTTAATTTTAAATTTTTAATTGTGAAAAATTTCTGTATTATTAATCACGTCATTTGATTTAACTTAGACTTTAGTTTCTGCACACTGATCAATTTGTTATCCATGAAAGTTGAATTGTCCAAATTTGATGTCGTAATTTTACAATCTTTTTAGATCACTCAATATACGTAGAACTAAGGATTTGTTAATAATTTTTAGCAAAAACGGGATTGAAAAAACAATGAGGATTTCCCATTTTTCTATATATCTATAAATAAATTTGGCTTGTCTGTCTGTTTGTTTGTTTTGGTGTTTGTCTGTCTGTTTGTATCCAATAAACGTCAAAACGGCTGAACCGATCGGGCCCAATTTTTTTGTGGGACATCTAGGGACCCCAGGGAAGGTTTATGAATGATCAAAATTTCAAATATTTGTCTCCATCAAAATTCGATCTTCATTGAATTTTTGAAAATTTTGAAAATCCACGAAATTTTTCGTGAAAATCCGCGAATTTTTTTGTTTTGTTTTACGATGTACACAAAGAGAACATGTTCACAATTAATTTAGAAGATGGGCGCGAAGCGCCCTATAAGGCTAGTATATATAAATTTGGCTTGTCTGTCTGTTTGTTTGTATCCAATAAACGTCAAAACTGCTGAACCGATCGGGTTCAAATTTTATGTGGGACATCACGTGACCAAAGGGAAGGGTTACGAATGATAAAAATAAAAATAAAAATGTATTTTAAAGGTTTTTAATTTTGTAAAAAAATTTCAATTCTTGAAAATCCGCGAAATTTTTTCTTTGTTTTAAAATGTAAACAAAAAGAACATGTTCACAATTTAAATAGAAGATGGGCGCGAAGCGCCCTAAAAGCCTAGTATATAAAAAAACCTTACACACATTATACAAATACACATCTCTTAATTCATGGGAGCAATAAATTGGATCTGCTAGGGAGTAAAGGGGGAGGTTATCCGTAGCATTGAGATAAACTTCTCTTGATATAAATTTGGGGAAATGCTGCCATTTTATAGCACCTCGGAATAGAATTGGTTCAGTTGAGGGGGGTACATTCCCCCCTGTTTCTAACTGTACAGCTCAACCCTCTCTTCCTCCTCCTGGCACTGTATGAACTTTACATTGAAAAGATATTTATGAGAGATACAAGTTACGCCCTTCTCAATGTAATTCTTGTTAGAAGATGCATCTTCCATCCACTCCTTTATCTATTCATAGTTTCACCATTTCCTAAAATCTTCTTCTTAATAGTTTTTAGTTTGGTGTATACTATTTGAAAAAGGCAAGCTTCAGTATGGTAGCAATAACTCGCACAATGAACATGTAATATAAAAACAAACGACCGGGGGTGATCAAATAAGGGGAGGGGAGAGTGATAAAATTGGAAACTGCCTTGTACTACTTATTACTAATACTATATTATGCTTGCGAACTTTTAGTAGTATTGGAGCTAACCTAAAAAGCCTTTACTCGATATCATTAATAAATATTGATGAAAATTCATATTCGTTTTACTCTATAACATTCGATTGGAAATATCTAATCTCTAATTGGTTAAGTATCCGAACGTTGAGTGGCTGTATGGGAGAGAACGGTTTAGAGTCATATGGATAAACCATCTGAACAAAAGCGGTCACTGAAAATTTCCCAGCTCTGCGAGTGGGGGAAGGCAGGCGGCCATGAGCCACCACTATTTCCCTTTCCGTGCCACATATTAGCTTTTTTCTCTTCCGGCAGCCATGAGCCACCACTTTTTCCCCTTCCGTACCACCACATTTGACTCTTCCGGGCAAAACTATTTTTTTAAATGGTATATTTAGGGCCTTTAAAGTTTGATTTTAAAAAATCCAGCCGCGTCACGCAAAAAAAGCACAACATTTTTTCAATTCTACTTAAGATTAATATTTTGTGTGTTGAATTCTTAAACTGTTTTACAATGAAATTTTTGACATATTTTACTGAGTATTGCATCTTGAAATATCTCAAAGTCTAATGATCATTGGTTAATGAGAGATTTTAAGATGGATTCAGTATAATAAGTCAGTAATTGAATAATCATTAGACTTTGTGATATTTCAAGACGTGACGCGGCTGGATTTTTTAAAATCACACTTTTTAAAGGCCCTAAATATACCATTTAAAAAAGTAGTTTTGCCCGGAAGAGTCAAATGTGGTGGTACGGAAGGGGAAATAGTGGTGGCTCATGGCCGCCTGCCTTCCCCTGCTCGCTCTGCTAGTAGTAAACAAAACAAAAAAATTGAAAAGAAACTCACACGTTACTTTTCTGCAATCTAAAAGTTTTATGTATGCCTGAATAGCTATAATTACCCTATACATAATTATCCTTAGTAAATTATGCCAGTTTTAACATCAATTAGCCCCATTGGTATGATTTAACAGACTATTACGCGAAAAGAGACCATGTAAGAATTTTTCACAAAGGGGTAAACTATAAATGAACATGAGCTTTGTTTATAAATTTAAAAAATGTAGGTAGAAGTAAAATTGTGCTTAGTAAAAACAGGTACTTAAAAAATGGCATGAGACCAACAAGAAATATCAGCTAAATTAATATCAAGAAATGTTTCTTTTTGTTGGCAAAATAATTCTTTTAATGTTAAACGTCATTCCGCGGACCGGGATTAAACCCTCATCTCTGTCTTGAGCCCTACTTAGTGAGTGAGGTGAGGGGAATTATTTGTGGTGGGGTGGGGCTGGGGGGGGATGGGAAGGAAAGGAGATGAA